CTACCAGCCTAGGTCGTTAGGCAAAAGGGATTCTAGGGATTGGTATTCCATGTGCCCATGAGGAGACATGTTCCTTTTGTGAAAAGTCTTCCTTCATCCATAAAAAGGGTGGAAGGAAACCTGGTTCAGGGCTCGAAAGGGTGGTATTCCTTGTGCCCATGGGAGGGGCATTTGCCTTTCTTACTGGGTCTTCCTACCTCAATTATGGAGTGGAAGGAAACCTGGTTCTGGGTTCGGGAGAAGTGGCAGGAGTGTGAGTGTGACACTGTCCCCTTTGTTGAAGTTTCGACCTCCTACTTCGAGCCTAGTGAGTGCCCATATTAAGCTTTGTTTTCAACTTTCTTGCCGAACCTTTTTACTAATGCAATGTTTGTTACTCTCTTAGGGACTGTTGAATGTTTTGAGCTCGACCTCTTTCACTGGGAGATCCTGTCTGACATCTATTGCCAACCCTCCTTAGCTCATCACTTCGACAATTTGGTCACTCCACATCGGTTTTACGAAAACCTCGCTTTCATGGCCTCTAGAGGTATATTTAACCTCTGCGAATGTTTTCTCCTTGCCAGGTTATTTATCACTTTTTATTCATGTCTGACCTCGTAGCACTGCTTGCAGAAAACTTCGAGAAAATGAGGGTGCCTACCCCTGACATGGCCACTATTCTAGCAACCACTTCAACGGTGGGTCGTAAGGGTGTGAAGAGCACATCTGCTGGGGGAAGGCAGATTAAAGGGAAGCTAGAGAGGGCCAGCAAGGAGGCTACCTCTCAGGAGGATGTTCGGCCCCTTCTGCCAGATAGAGGAAAGAAGACGTTGGTAGAAGAGCCCAAAAAGAAATTCAGGGTTTCCACCACCGGGGTGGGTAGCTCCAGTGACGTCCCCCTCCTTGATCCGAGGTGCCGACAGGGCAGAAGCTGCTGGTAGCATCCATTGCTGCGTTAGGGGCAGAAATGGCCAGCTTCTTTGAAACCTCAATCTTCATAACAGAAAAGATTTTCATGATATCCCCATTTGTTTATCTTAAATTTTCTCTCAACCATAAGAAAGTTCATTTTTACCAATAAAATTGAAACCACCAAATAAAATTGAAACAAGATCCATCTCTAATTAACATATAGGCAACAATGTGGTACAAAATTGAAGTATCCTAAGAGTTAATCTCATCCAAACAAATCAGCTGAGACCAAAAAATTAAAAATATGAAATTGTTTACATGAGATCTAAAGAAACGGCTTTGGATCATTAAGAGATCGTACCGGCAGATGATTGAGGCGGCCCTTGAGGTTTAGGTTAAGGCTGAAGCTGAGTTTGAAGTTTAGTAGGTGATGAAACATTGGTAGGTGGGCCCCAGGGTCTTGCAGTCCAAGCTCCTCTTAGAGGAGTAGGCCCCACGCCGACTTGCAGAGGCTGTTGTGCTGGCCTTTGACCTCCGTTACCACTTCTCTGGCCTTGATCTTGTTGTATCGGCTGTTGCCTCAAGCCCGCGGAGGCGGCGATGGGTTGACTTGAGTGTCACCAACACTACCTTGATACGGCGCCCTGTTGACCCAATGCTACTAAACCGGAGTCTGATATTGAGGCGGGGTCCCGCCCCTCCCTCTTCCACCCGTGCGTAGTGATGCTGAACTTGCTAGTAAGAATGCTGAACAACACTTCTTGGCCAACTTCCACCTTACTGAACATTATAAGCACTTTGGCGCGTATTGGAGGATGTACACTTATGCCGAAGTCATTGAATGGCTTGAGGTGCACAATCGGGAGGCCAAGACTTCTGACTTGAGGGCGAAGTTTTTGGAAGTTGAGGAAGAGGATGGTGAGCCCCAGACCCCAGCTGAGGGTGCGGAGGTCACAGAGCTTAACGGAGACGATGTTGAAGAAGCCAATCCTGCCGAAGCTGGAGCTATAGTGCCTTTCGAACCCCCTCAACCCTCGTCCTCTCAGGCTTGAGTGTTGCTTTATTCTTGCTAAAGTGTAAGGACTTCGGTCCAAGCTTTCCTTTGCTTTGCATTTTAGTTTATATTCAATAAAATTCAATCTTTTTCTTTATCCGGCTTCTATTGTTCTTTTACCGTTGCGCACTGATAACTTCTGACCTTGAAGCATGTTAATGATTTCTGACCCTGAAGCATGTTAATGATTTTTCTACCCTTAACAATTCGTTAACATCTGAAGTGTAGTAACTTGGTGAATCTTGAACGAATGAGTCAGACTATGACCTTTTGATTTAACTAGAACTTTGGATACTGACATCTTCTCTTAGAGTTGAGGCTTTCGCATAATCTCAGATTTTTTGAGATTCGGGGGGGGGGGAGGGGGGTTACCCACTCCGAGGTGTCTTGACCTTTACAAAGTATTATGAGGTCCTTTGGCTTTTGAGGCTTTTAACCTTTGTAACTAAGGGGTCTGTAATGCATTGTCATGGAACTTTACATAGCAATGGCGAACTTCACAAAGAAATGTTTGTTGATGCCCAACTCCTCTCACATTCCTCTGACTTTTTTGTTGTCAAATTGCTTGTCATTGTCTGATATAATTGAATGAGGGATACCGAATTTGTAGATGAGGTTCTTCCTTGCAATTGGCTCAACTTCCACCCATTTTGTGAAATAATTGATAGCGACAATGGCGAAGCTAACGCTTCCTCTTCCTTTGGGCAAGGGTCCAATTAGGTCGATCCTCCACTTTGTAAAGGGCCAAGGACTGGAAACCACACTTAGATCTTGTGAAGGGTACCTCTGGATGGTGGCGAAACGTTGGCACTTGTCACATTGGGATGCATTTCCCATTGCCCATTTCTGGACATTGGATGGGGAGGATGAGTTTGCCTATTTTTAGGCCTCCTTGGACTTAGCCTATCAAAAACACTAATAGACCTCTGGGGTTCATTTTCTTGTGGCCTCTCCAAGGCGTAATTGGTCGATGAATCGATTTCGACCTCTCTTTCTTGAGGAACTTGTCCTAGTATAACGATAGCCCGCCATTTGACTCTGGACCTCGTCTTCCTCTTGATAATATGCTTGTGTCTCAAGAAGGACATCTTTCGGGGCTGTGTATTGATGAGCCTGATAGCCTCATTGTCCTTGCATGCTCATCAACATTTCTTGCAGCCAGGTTCTGCTGAGTGAAAAAAGATTTACATGTTTTGTCTTACATATATCTCGAAAACACAAATGGAAAAGAGGTGATTGAGATTCCAACACCAGGTAATTCATATTGTACCCCTGACTAAAAATGGTTTATCGAATAATTATCTATTGTCTTGTGTAGTCCAGTCCGTGCTTTCAAAATTCATAGTTTAACAACAGGAATGTGTTGCATTTTGCTTTTCTCTTCTTTTACTCTTTAAGTAACTAACAAGTGCTGAGTTTTAATCGATTTATTTTTGTCGAGTATTTCCATCGGTCATGGTTACCGGTAACATATATAGTTTATGATGTATGCATAGTTTATCAATATCGTATCACTTTCATGATCAAGAGCCTTTTTAGACTCGTAATAAAGGTTATATAACATCGAGAAATTTAAAGTTGCGGCCCCAAAACTTTTTCAAATAAAGGATACGAGCACCAATCAAGTTCGAGGACGGCAAATTTCCCCCCAATTATGTGATTGAGTATACTGCTAGAAAGACCATATGCATAGAANGCGATCTAACCTGGGACTTCGAATTGAAGGGATAAAAATAGTCTCCCAAGTCTATACATGATTAATTATGTAATGCATGGACTTTCAAGTTTCATGTATTTCTTAAGCAAGGAAAGGAGCTACGACCTTTCGTCGACCCTCCTATCAGCGTCTTCAGATGTAGTTTACTCACTGGGTATATGTCATTCTCCTAAGGTACCTAACCCAGGTTAGATATGCCAAGGTTCGAAATTTCCCATCTGAAGTAGGCATGTCTTGCTGAAGTCTCTTCTCTGATCCGGAGTTCCAACGTTCGTTTCAGAAGTTGGTAAGGTCTGATATGAGAGGGCGGCCTCTGATTGATTATTACGAGGAGTTTAATATGTCTCAAAGAGAAGATAATTATTCCGGTACAACTCTCAATATACGCTACAATTGCCACATTTAATGCGAAATGATTGTTGTTGCCCACGTTTTTTCCACGAACCTCAGATGCGCTTGGGCGCGTATACGTTACGTTTGGGAAAATCGATTATTTGTGAATAGTACTAGTGCCGTCGAAATCAAACAGCCGAAGTCTGAATATTTGTGCCTCTTGCCGGAAAGTGCCTCCCGCATCTATTCCAACTGAACTACCATTCTTGTCCCGATAGAAACGCTCTGGATCTGTACTTGACGTGACAAGAGTGGGCCCGACATCTGTTGAGTTCAATTTTTGGGGTCAACAATATATAAATTAAATGTCTCAATTATGTCAACATGAAGTCCAAATGGTACCCCATACCATTATCAACTTTTAGTGTATATTAAACCTTGTTTTCATATTTTTATTTTTTTGCAATTTGATTGTAGCCCTGACTAAAAATGGTTTATCGAATAATTATCTATTGTCTTGTGTAGTCCAGTCCGTGCTTTCAAAATTCATAGTTTAACAACAGGAATGTGTTGCATTTTGCTTTTCTCTTCTTTTACTCTTTAAGTAACTAACAAGTGCTGAGTTTTAGTCGATTTATTTTTGTCGAGTATTTCCATCGGTCATGGTTACCGGTAACATATATAGTTTATGATGTATGCATAGTTTATCAATATCGTATCACTTTCATGATCAAGAGCCTCTTTAGACTCGTAATAAAGGTTATATAACATCGAGAAATTTAAAGTTGCAGCCCCCAAAACTTTACGAGCACCAATCAAGTTCGAGGACGGCAAATTTCCCCCCAATTATGTGATTGAGTATACTGCTAGAAAGACCATATGCATAGAAATACTATATCTAAACAATGAGGTGTTTGGATGCAAATGTGTAAGTAAATGTTTCTTCAATTATTTTTATCACCAAAACATTTTCTTGTATAATTATGGTGAGAGTAAGGAGATCTAATTCTGTTCCCACAAGCCAATGTATGCAATTTCATCATATGGAACTAGTGCTGGACTTGGGATACGAAAACAATCGTAAAGCTCTATCGTCTCAACAACATCAGCCGTGCCCTGGTACCAAACTCCTATATCGTCGCATGGAAAAGGGCTTTCTTCCATGATATGAAGCCAGTCGAAATTTTCAATATTGTCTAGACACTGATAATTATCTTCCAAGGTCGAGTTCTTCTCCATCTCCATGGTGTAAACTTTATCATCCCGCACTTCTTCTTTTGGCTCTTCGAGTAATTCTCTAAGCATCGTGGCATCGAATTCCATTATTTCTAGCTCTTCAAGTTCGTCTGTGGTGGTTAGTGAAGACTGGGAACCAGTTGATAAATTTGAGGCCATATATTGATTATGGAAATATGAGTAAATCAAATAAGGAAAAGTGAATTCAAAGATGAAAAGAAAAGGAAAGGGAGATAAGGGTTGGACGGGCTACGTTGAATGCATACTGATAGTGTATAAGATTCATTGAGATGGAATAGGCCTTAAATAGCCTCCATTTATATCCAATTCAGACACACCATCAAGTTTGATCGTGTCATGTACCTAATTATGTTGGCAAAGTAATATTAGATATTGTCAAATGCATAAATATATAGTCCTCGTGCCTCACGCGAAATGAATTGCATGTGTCGAAGACTAAATTCGATAATAATTGAACTTCTAGACAAGTCGATTTGTCAAAAGCATAAATATAAAGGGGTCGTGCCTCACGCGAAATGAATTTTATGTGTCGAAGACTAAATTCGATAATAATTTAACTTCTAGACAAGTCGATTCGGCTTTCACATTTATGAAAAATATGTTCGGATCCAGACCTTTATTGAAAAATAAACATCCTCTATAAGTGAAGGAACGTGTTGAATATTAAATAAAATAGATGTAAAAATTTAAATTTTTATACAAGACAATTTAACAAAATAAACCAATTAAGCCCTTGTTTGGTCATGATTAAAATATGACTTTAATCCAATCAAAGTCAAACAATCAGTATTAACCACATATTTCATGGGTCCCACAACTTTTCAACCACACATTTCAAAAACTTCTATCACAATCTACTAAAAATTTAATTTTAATTCCCACGAAACACTCTCTAAATTAAAATATACGTGTGTTGTCATTGGAGTCTCTTGATTCCGACATGTTATGTTTGTCAAGAATCTAATTGCATTACTTAACAGTTTATAAACACGAGTCGAACTAATTTCTATTATTAATGTAGCACCATTCATATAGAAAGTGATAATCCATTTATTTATTTATTTTTAAATAAAAAATATGTGCATATTACAAGTAAAAAGGTGATAATTCTCGATCTTACAAGTGGGCTATGCTTATCTATTTTTAGATAAAATGTGAAAGCGAAATGTTTGGTTACATTTTCAGCTAGAAATATCGAGAGATTATGTATGGGGCCCCTAAATGGCAAGTTGGTAGGCTCACGATATATCTTTTCTTGATAAATAGAAAATGAACTTGATTGATTGCTTTTTCAAACTCGAACATTAGAGTTTTTCCGGTGATTATTTGAATGTATCGTGATTCTTAAATTTCATTTTAAAAAGTTTTAACTTATAAAGTGATTTATCGGTTTATAAAGTGAAAACTACGTCTCCGATAAAGTATAATGCGAGTTGGTATCATATCTTGTAAGGAAGGTAAGAGTTTTACCTTTAATGCGTATAAGATAACGAGTTTCAAGTGAATAAAATGTATGAGTTGGTAACAAAAATACGTCTGTATACAAATATACAAGTTATTAAGGGCTCATTTGACATGACTTTTTTTTATTTTTTGTAGAAAGACTTCTGAAGAAAACTACCTTAGTTTTTTATGGAAACTAAATTTTAAAGAGTTTCTTATTTCAGGAGTGTTTTTAGAAGGAATCACAATGAACCAACTTCCTTTAAAAACTCTTCAAACGAGAATAAACACTTCATAAAATTAATTAAACGAGTCTAAAAGTTACTTTTAAACCTCAAACTCACATTTTAACTTTTCAAAAGTCACACCAAGGCCCTATGAAAGCGTACAAAAATTGTTACTTGACATTGATTTATGTTCTCTCCAAGTAGAGTTCTCGTGACACTCATTATCGACTAGTTCAAAGGGGAAAAAATAGTCTATGATGTTAAACACGTCTTAATGTTTGAAAATTAAAATTTTATGTTACAAGTATGTATCAATATACTAACGTTGAGCTCATTTACCGATTTTTGTTTAATTGAATACATGAATAAATCATTGTTGAATAAATTTGGTTAGGTTTTGGGTTTACTCTCCAATGGTTACCAGTTCGAATCCCCTCAGAGCCATTGAGGTGAGTACCCGATCATAAATTTCAAGATCTCGTGGAATTAGTCGAGGTGCGCGCAAATTAACCCGTACATCCAAGGTTATAAAAAAAAAAATAGTTGAATAAATAAAAAGCTACTTATGTATAAAACAGGGAACACGACATTTAGGTGACACGTGAATTCCTAACCTTATCAAAAATGCAACTTGTGACAATTACATGAACCTAACCAAGGTTCCTAGAACTTACACGAAAACAATTTGGGGACCATAAAAATTAAAAAGAGTGCACGTTTAGGGAAAGATTTTAAAATATATATATATAATTAGATGTATTCATATTCAGCCAAATACATAGATACATAATCACGTGAAAAGTATTAAGATTCATATGTTGAAAATTTATTTTAGTTTTATTTTATGTGGGATTTATTTTGTTCCCGCAAAATAGTGACTCATTTAAGAGTATCAATCTTGAAATCTGATTGCTCGTCTAAACTTAATATATAACCTTTGATATTATTTTGAGACTTGATGTTCAATCTTATAACAACGACCTTATTAAGAGGAATAAATCACGTTCTTATGTTGTATATTCATTTAATTTCTATTCGATAATGGGGACTTACCCCTAACAAAAATATGTGATTTCACTTTGAAAAAAGAAATCTTTGTGAAAGAATACTCGTGAAAGCCGAAAAATAGAAAGATGCGTTCAAAAAGTCGAGCGAGATGCACGCTATATATTAAGAGATGGTTTGGACGGTATACTTCTTTTGAGAAGTGAGAAGAAAATTGAAGATTGGCCGTTTTGTCCGTTAGGAGGGTATTTCAAGAATTATTTGTATATTTTTAATATATATATATAAATTACACCAAAAAAGGTACTTAAATATGACAATTCTAAAATCGGGTATTAAGTTTATTTAAACATAAATCATGTATTAGCAAAACTCATAATTGTAATCTCTCTCGTCTCTGTCTTTATCTCTCACTCGCACTCTCTCTTTCCTATTCTTCCACCTTTGTCATCGAAGCTTCGACGCAGGGAGAGCACAACGACGTTTAGATCAGGGTGGCTACTTACGAGTCTGGGTTTGGGGTTGTTCAGATCGATGTCGTCGCTCGTGGAGGCCTACATTGAATCGAGGTGGCTGCTTAGGTTTTCTGGTGTGTGTGTGTTTTGGAGACCAAGTTGATTTTGGGGGCATATATGCACCTGCTCTTGAAATTAGAATATAGAGGAAATTATTTTTCCCTTTGAAGAATAAATTCAAATTAATAATAGAATTTAGATCACCTTGAGGCCATCAAATTTTGTTTTTAAATCCTCGCATATAAGGATAAGATAATAATTTTGAAGGAACTTTAAATGGCCTTCCAACTTTCCATCCAAAGTTTATTCATTAAGAATTTTTTCGTTGTTCTTCACATTTGGGTGTCTCCTTTTTGGGAAATGGGGCTATTCCTAATTTTGGAAAAATGTGCCCACAAATGTCATACTTGTAATATTCAATTAAAGTTTCGTAATTACTATTTTATTGTAGTAGGTTAATTAAGTTTCACGCCCATATTAGAGCCAAGAGAGGGATTTGATTGGACTCACAGGACCCAAGTTTCAATAGATATTTCTAATTGGATTAACTCTGTCCAGTTATGATACATCTATTAATCCTGACTTATTGTATCAAAAAGTCGAAATAGCACTATCGAGTCTAGTAATAATTATGGAAGCAAATTATGATCCGATAATAATATTCTTCGATCATCATTCAACGAACCAGCCCGGTGGCAATCCATATGTTAAAACATGCAAAATAACTTTTTTTTTGTCCTTTCAACATGTATTACCGTATAAGTCCCATTTTCACAAGACAATTCAATTGCAAACAAATCACAACATAAAGTCCAACGATTCCATCGTGGATTATGGTGTGTTGTCGTAGGCATCCAAAAATAATCCTTAAACCTCTAAAACTAATGTAGTAATAAAAGTAATTGTCGATC